GAGAAAGAGAATGCACGGGGCGGGGGGGAGGGGGGGGCGGGCATTTCTCCCTTGGGGTCATAGGTCAGAGGCAGTGGTGGACATGAAGAATAAGAAATGGCTCTAAGGTGAAAGAACTATTTTTTATTAGATGAAGAAGGATGAGATTAGGAAACTCTAGTTCTAAGCCCAGCCTGTTTTAAAGTAGAGCAGATCCTCTCAATCACTGCACCTTGACTACCTGACCCTAAGATAAAGAGATCACTGGTTGCCTGATTCTAAACCCATTTACCTCGCTAAACTATTTCTACTCCTCCCATGAAGGCATTCTCAAGCTTCTCCAATGAAATATCAACTAGCCTGCCTTCCCTATAAATGGGACAAGGTCAGAGAAATGCAACCCCCAGGTATGGGGTATTTTAGTCTTCAAATAGCACTGAGCTATGAGTCAGAAGACCTGGAGGTGAGCCCCATCACCCGTCTGTGACCTTGGGTGAGTCGTCTCAACCCCAAGGGGCCTGCTGTCCCCTCCTGCACCATGAAAATAGCACTTTACTCCACTACAGGATTTGACAAATAAATGTGCAGTTAGGTATGAGAGCTTTTGTAAACTACAGGTGTCTGTGACCATGAAGACCTCTGCTTCCCACCAATCCTAAACAAACATCCGGAATGTAGAGGCCTCTCCCTCGTTTGAGAAGCAAGACAAAAAAGGAAAAAGTGGGATGATAACTCAGCTGCTCTCTGCTCTCAGGAACCAATGAGACTGATGGGTTTCTTCAAGAACTGTGTTTGTGGACGAGATGTTGAAACGGAAACACCTTTGCACTCTTCTCTAAGTCCCAAGTAAGCAATTGCTAGTGAGTGTGATGGCCCAGGAGAAGGGCTGGGTTCCCTCACCTACTAAATACAACCATAGCATGCTCCTTGTATATTTTTTTAGCAAGCAGAATCATCTACTTTTCTTTTTTTTCAAAATGGAAACTGGCAAAATGAAATATTTATAAACAACAATCGTGTTACATATTTGTAGATCTACTATGTCTCCTAGAAAATTTGATCTGACAACCGTTGTCTTTCCCCATTTCCATTTTACAGAAACTCTGCAAATTCTGATGAAGCACCAATCAATAATTCTCCCCCCAAATTGCCCAATATCCTATTATGAAGGTAATAGCTCTTCAGTAATTCTATCACAGGATTTGAAATTATTTCAAGGCGTTAGTAATGCAGAAATTGAACTCACCTAAGTTGATCTCTGAAATATCCTTCTGTTCATCAAAATCTGCATCTCGTGCTGTTAAAAAGTGAGGGGGAAATTGTTACTAGTCTTGCTGAACAGAAGAAAGCTCAGAAACACTCTCCATGCATTTCAATTGAACCTTACCGTTTCCTTCAGAATGATGCCTAATCTGAAAGAAAAGAAATAAACAGAAAGTGAATAACATATACTGCAACTGATATTTCTAAATACCCCAAAAAGTAGAATTCGACTTACCGACACAGCAGCTATGTGAGCAAAAAACAAGATGAAAGAGAGAATGCAAGTGGACCTAGTCCAATCCATTGTTGCAAGTGAACAGACCTTAGCAAAGACACTTTGTGATAAATGCTTCCTGGACCTTGCCCCGGCTATCATACTGGAAACTTTGACCCTTCCATATGCACTATAGCACTAAAAAAAAGTTGTCAATGAAAATGTCATTGACAGATACTAAGGGCAGATACTAAGTTTAACATAAAGGCTCAAGCTCCAGAAATGAGGAAAACTTTTCCAAAAGTTAATAGTGAGATGAGCATATAAAAACCAATAACATTCCTATATACCAGCAATAGCCACTCATAAAATATAACAGGTAAAAGAACAATTTCATGGTAGAAATAAAAATGACCTATAAAATGATTTTAAAGTACATAAAATATAGCCTGGCCGGGCGTGGCTCAGCGGTTGAGCGTCAACCTTGGATCCAGGCGATCGGGGTTCGATTCCTGGTCGGGGCACATGCCCGGGTTGCCGGCTTGATCCCCAGTCAGGGGCGTGCAGGAGGCAACTGATCAATGACTCTCATCATTGATGTTTCCATCTCTCTCTCTCCCTCTCCCTTCCTCTCTCTGAAATCAATATATATTTAAAAAAATAAATAAAATAAAATAAAATAAAGTACATAAATACAATAAAAAATGAATTGGAATTTTATGGAAATGTTATAGAGCAATTATCAAAGGACATAAAAAAGATCTATCTATCCATATGCAATAGATACATGTATATTTGTATATATAAACATTCATGGGTGAGAAGACTGAGTATAATAAAGATGGCCATTATTTTGATATTAGTTTATGAATTCAACGTCATTCCAATAAAAATCTTAACAGGGTCTTTGTGAATTTGACAAACTGACAAAGTTTCTGAAGTTTATGTGAAAGAGTAAACCTCCAAATGGAGGTAAGAAAACTCAGAAGAGGAAGAACTGGAAAGGAACTGCTCAGAATTTTTATAAAGTTATGGTAAAGAGTGTAATATTGTCAGACAAGAACACTGGGTTTACAGAATGAAATACAGAGTATGAAAGCAGGTGCAAGGCATATATGGAGGTTTCATATATGAGAGAAAACAAAAGGTCAAAAAGCAAAATTTGTTTTTTTGAATAATGATGCTGGGACAATAGCATTTCTTTATAAGGAAAAATAAAATTCTCACATTATTCATAAAAAATAAATTCTGAATGGATTAAATATCTAAATATAAAAATCTAAACTTTTCTTTAAAAAGAAAATATAGGAAAATGCCTTAAATCAAGAGGCCAGAAAAGATGGTTTAAACATGAAAAAAACATAGATATCATAATAAATTTGATTACATCAAAATTTAATCTTCCTTATGACAAAAAAAACACAACAACATAGTTAATAGACAAGCCACGGGTGGAAGAATATATTGATATTGTGCATAATTGAACAAGAGTAATTTATCCAAGATATATAAAGGAATTCCAACAAATCAATAAGAAAAAAGAGAGAGAGAGGATCTAAAAGAACAATGAGGGAAAATATAAACAAAAAGTTCACAAAAGAGAAAACCCAAATGGACAATGAACACATAAAAAGATGTTCAGCCTCACAAGTAATCAGAAATATGTCAACTGAAATAACAATGAAACATCCTTACCCTCAGATTGACATATATGAAGAAGGCAGACAATACCAAGTATTGACAAGAATGAGGAAACAGAAAACCTTATACTGTGACAAAATTCGAAGCTATCTAATAAATTGAAATGTGCATAGTTTATAAGCAAGAAATTCCACTTCCAGGTGTGTACCCTAAAGAAACACACACATAGGTACACAAAATACGATATATTTATGGCAGTATTTTTTTGTGATAGTAAAGAACTGGAAGATATATTTATACTAGAAGAAGATATGGGGTAAATTCAGTCATGTGCAGATGAATGTTTAAAAACCAGCTCTCTGAGGAAACAGCGTTTCATGTTTGCTGATTTCTAGGGTGTAAATACTCCCACCGTGGTCAGTTTCAAGCCACCAGCACTGTGCCACTGAATGCAGGGCTGGGAAGAGATGTGTACCATGGGCTCTACCCGCCCCGACACAGCACTGCATATACTTACACACCCCTGCTCTTGCATGCTTGAGGTAATAAGTCTTGGCCGCCAGAGCAAACCTCAAGGTCTAGAGCCTGCCTGTCTCCACCTCAAACCTATTCCTGAGGCAGGTGGGCCCATTCTGCTGTCAGAAAAGCATTTCTGGAAGCAGAGAGTGGGGCTTCCTGAGCTAAAACAGGAGTCATGACAGCTAGGGCCAGCTTCCGATGGGCAGAGGAGGGCTATGACTGACCCGCTTTATCACAGCTCTTGATGAGGTTCTAGAAGATGGTGCAGAGAGTCGTGTCCCAGCCTCTCTGACCACTGGAAGCCTCCAGTGTTTTCCAAAAGGATCTGAACTTGCTCGACCGCTAAAATGGCTTAGATTCAGGTTAGCAAATATAATCTTTGTGATTTAAAAAAATTGGTGGGTCAGGACTTGACGAACATCAGCTTCAATGAGAATAATTGGCTCTAAGAACAATGATAAAACTCAGGGGAGTTTTATTTCTTAAACGTGTTAATATTTTTTCAAATTCTGAAATAATTATTACAGAAATTAATATTTGTTAACTCTGGAGACCAGAAAGTAGGGTTTAAGACTCTGTTATGTTGCTCTCTAAAGAAAAAGGCAGTATTATTGTATGGTGATTCAGAAGAGTCCTCTGGAAAATGTACCACTTTGGCAGGTGGATTATTTTGAGCTGAAGGCAATCAAAACCCTGGGGCCTCACGAGATACTCTTTCACCTCTCCCTTAAAGAATTTGAATTAGGGGCCTTGCCCATAATAAGAGATGATCAGGAGATATCTTTTTGACCTATCTATATGGCAGGGCAAACTACTAATTATTGAACATCTGCTCTTCTTACTGTCCTGCAGTGACCCTCCGAGCCCTAGGTGCCTTACCTCATCCTTAGCTCAGGAGTATGTACACCTCACTTCTCTTTCTGTCTTCAAACCTCTCATTTCTCTAGGGTCTCTGACTTGCTCATGTACGCAGGGTTCCCATGTAATTAAACTTGGTTCTCCTGTTAATGTGTCTCATGTGGATTTAATTATTAGACCGGCTGAAAAACCCTAAGAGGGTAGAGGAACATTTCTTCCTCTCCCACACCTGCTTAGGTACAGCTTCCTACGAGATCTCAGGTGTTAGCATTTCAAACAGGCAGTAATGGGGCTGTTTAATTCTCTCCGCTCTCCCCTGCCTCCAGATGTACTTTTATCTTTCCCTTCCTTCTAAAACATATCTGAACAATATACTGTAACGATGGCTTTGGAGTCAGATGACAGGGATTTAAATCCCACCTCTACCATGGACTAGCTGGTATTTTGAGCATCTGCTTTCCACATGTAAAATGGATAGTGGGGTCTACCTCATAGGGCTAATGTAAGGATTCAGGGAGATAACCTATGTGCAGCATAGGTACTAGAAACAAAGGAAGCACTCAGACAAGCTCTTTTTGTCCACACCCATTGCCTCCCGGCAAAAGACAGGCCAGAAAGGACACAGCTGTGCAGCACACCCTCCCTCGCTCAGCAGAACCCCTGCTGCAGGGCGCGTAGGTCTTCAGCAGGCACAACTTGCCCCTGGTGGTTTTCTTTCATGATCTCGATGGCAGGTGTTAATTAGTTACCAGTTATTTGCAATCTTAGGCACTTCATGTACCAGGATGTCAACTGGATGAGACTGAAACCTTAAGTCCGAGGTTTGACGGGTTTATTGTTTTGCAGATAAAAAGTAGATTATGCATTCCGCTGGGCAAGGTCCACGTTTTGTTTCCCAGATCTGCCCCAGTGTGCCCATCTTTCACGGTGTGGGGAAGAATCAGACAAGAGGCTTACTTCATTTTTTGCCAAACCTCTTCCTACTTCTTAAATCCTGGTAGAGTTCTTGCAATTGAAGCTGACTCATCTGAGAGCTGCAAGATCGCCCTCTTATTTCAGGAAAAGTCTTGAACCTCTGCTAATTACAAGGTCAATGCCCAAGAGACCAAGTTGGACCAGGGCACCTGGGAGGAAAGACTAAACACATAGGGACTGTTGAGTAAAGGGAAGACACATTAGGACGGGCTTTTCTCCCAAAGGAAATGTGAGTCTAAAGAGGAAGAGGTCTAGTTGTTTTCTACCATCAGATGACAAATTAACACAATCGAGTAACAAGGGGAAACAATCCATGGACTGGGGGAGTACAGTGTCTCACGAGCAGTGGAGCACTGTTCCTGGGGGATTTGGGATAAAGTGAGTTTAATAGAGAGTTAGAAGCAGCAACACAACACAGGGCATGACTGGCTGGGGTTATTTCATCTCATTTAGGAAGATGAAGGAACCAAGAAATAAGTTCTGTATAAATCCTGGAGTTGTCTTGGCGTTTGGGAATTGGCTGACTGGTATACTTCCTCTCTTGTCAAGCAGATCATTTAAGGGATCATAAAACCTCATTTGCTGATATGGCACCCTGGGCAGGAGTGACCAGATCTTGGGCCTAGAAATGTATTTCAACACCACAGTCTCTGAAGTAAGGGTACAAGGAAACAGGCTTAAATTGCAAAAGGGGCACTTAATTGTTAGATATAAAGACTTTCCTGGTCCTAAGGATTCTTGGATCCTAAAAGTGTTTTAAGGAGGGAGATAGTGTTAGTCATAGAGAATTATGTCAACGCTACAGCTGGGGGTGGCGGTGGGCAAGCATGGACAGATGCAATTCTTCAGAAAGAGGTGGTACTGAAGAAAGAATGAGTGTTGCTTGGTTTGGGGATTTTTCTTTGTCCTGGGAAAAGTCATCCAGTTTTGAGGTCATTTAATGGAAGCAAGATGATGGTAAGTCATACATGTAACTTGATCCAAAGAACAAGAGGCTCAGCCCTCTTAGGAAACAAATGAGAACTGTAATCCCATTTCCCTTTGAAAACCGAAGAATTGTTTTTGGTACAGCTGATTGTTTTATGCAAGCGGCCAGCAGCTCAGTTGGGGGCCAGCTGCATTATCTGACACTTCG